TATCTATGATAAAGTCATAATATAAATGACTCTGATTTACCTTAAACATGGTTGAACTCGGATACATCGAGTTATCGTGTAGGTATTTGAAATGCAAAACAGGATTGTGGGTTTTGAATTCAGAGAAGGGAAAATTGTTTGTGACAAATGCACCGCGTGCATTCTGTACAGAGTTATTAATATTTATATACATATATAGTTAGTTGGCGTCACGTAAGCTCTTTGAAGTGTGGGACTCTGTGAAAATATTTAGAATCTCTTATATTTCATACCAGCGGGTCCGCTAAACCGTTTTCGTGCCCGATAACAATTAAAAATAATCTTAAAGCCCTACTACAGCGCAATCTTCTTTCTTTGAATGCCTCCAAGACGAAGTATTTGTGTTTCCATAAAACCAAAGCATCAAAATCTCCCCTCGCCCGTTCCTTACGTATTCACTCAGATTGCCTCTCTGAATACTGCACTTGCCAGTGCTTAGAGCGAAGTTACAAATGCCAAGTATCTCGGTATCACTATAGACGAAAACCTATCTTTTAAGATGCACATAGAAACCACTGCTTCCCGTATCAGAAAGCTGATCTACGTTATGAAAACTCTTAGGAGCAGCGCTGACGAGGAGATTCTCAATCTCGTATATAAGAGTCTCGGGGAGACACTACTTAGTTACTGTATTCCTGTCTGGGGTGGAACCGGGATCACTGCCATGTTAGTTTTGGAGAGAGCACAACGAGCTGTCTTAAAGACGATGCTAAAGAAACCATTTTTATACCCCACCGACTGTCTTTATTCCGAATCGCAATTTTAAATGTACGAGAACTTTATATACTAATAGCCTCCTTAAAAATGCATTGTCAAGTATTAAGCTCACCCAATTATAACTCCCTCTTATGCAAAAGAGTATTTAGGGTCCCCGTTTTCAGAGTGCGTTTCGCCACGGTAATAAGATAATATCACCGTGGTTCCGCTTTTGTACAACGCTTTCATAGTCACATGCTCCCGTATGTGTATAATAAAATGACAAAACTGTGTGACATAAAAACAGCTACATTGAAACAAGCCAAACGCGTGCTCACTTATAGGCTGAAGTGCATGACCTACCTTCAGAGGACCTTATTAAGCAGTCAAAATAAGACCAACATCTCATCGATACCTCGATCATCGATTTCCTATCCCATACTATATCTATTCTTCTCCACATACACACACACTCTAATACACACACGCACACACACATGCACACACACGCATGTACGCACAAACCAACATACCCACGCACGCAAACACACATACACATACATACAATACTGATTTTAATTTAGTTATTTTTCATTGATTTCATTACGTTTGTTTTGTTACAAATAATAATTACACATAAATTATTAATGTGACGTCATCCTATTTATTATATTAGGGTGCCCACGATACAGGTTTCTCCTAGTGTGGGACCCACTGTCAAAACTACAATATTACTATGTTTAGTAAAAATAAAATAAAAAAAAACTCGGGCGGATTTGTGAGTTGAGTTTTCATTAAATTATCTAACTCACTGTGCAACTTTGCTTTTTCCGTAAAAACCCTTTTCAAAATAGTACAAAACCTAAAAAAAGGGATGTGTGAAATCAGTAAACTCGTTTTCAAGTTATGGCGTGACCAAGGAAAACAGGGTTTTATTTTTATTTCATTAAGTACTTTTAATATATTTTATGACAATGTTAATTAAATTCCTATTTTGCTTATTTGTCTGATTAACCTTGGTACTTTATTACTAAATTTACCGGCCAGCAAATAAAGTACTGAAAGTGTTCATTAATGTATTTATCTGCTTGCGAAATTAATGATGTAGCAATGTAGGCTGCATGTATGTCAATATAACAATAAAATATACGTAGATATGGTTTCTTTGCAATAATAATAAGTATTAAAAAAAAACAATTGACGCAACATAAGCAAATATACTTTAAGTACTTATAACTTGCTGAAGTCAGTTAAAAATATCAATCTCCTTAATTACCTTGGATCGAAGCAAGTTAACAGATATTTTAAGAGTGTAATTCGTAATATTGCAAGTTATTTAAGTAAATCATAAAAACAAGTAAAATAGGAATTTAATTAAGATTGTCAAAAAACATATTTGGAGTACTTATTTCTTCTAATCTTTATGTATAAAAATAAAACTCTATTTTCTTTGGTCACGCCATAACTTGAAAATTAGTTTACTGATTTAATCCATCCCTTTTTTTAAGTTTCCTACTACAGTGGATTTATTTACCTATAGCGACGTTAAATCGAAGTCCCTTGTATTTAAAGCATACTTTAGTACAAAATTCATGTAGCTATAGCGACTTTGGATGTAACGCCGAGTTCGGGTGTAGCTACTGTTTTAATGAATCATTTGTAACAAATTCATAGAAATACCATGCAGATATTGCGACCGTAGTCGGCCGCCAAATACACAAAGATTTCTTTCTTTCACAATCTTCTCTTTTGTTTACATCCACACAGATGACCAGCAACAGTGGAGACCTTTACCTTCCGTTTATAGATATTAGCTGAGTAGCTACCTACGGAAGCGTGTAAGTTTCGGAGTTAAATCTATGGTTCAGTTACGAAGTGATATTCTAAGTAGCAACTGGGTTTAGTAAAATTTTGAATAAGTATGGCTGCTAGACGCACATTTACTGTTAAAGAAAAAGCCGAAATTATTTATAAATGAATACAAACTATACATAATAATAATAATAAATATTTCCAACACTCACACCAATTAGCCTATCCCCAAAGTAAGCAATATAAGGCTTGTGTTATGGGATACTAGGGTAACGGATAGAATACATATACTGCATATATATAAGTATATTTATATCGAAATACATATTAAACATCCAACACCGGGATTCGAACCCGAACCCGTACATGTGTACGCGTCTGTATCTCTTTACCTTTGCCTGTAACGACTTCCGGATATAACGACGAAAATAGAGTGGCCCTTCATCGTCGTTATACCCGAAATTCACTGTATTTTGAAGAATGTTTTTACGGAAAAACCAAAGCTGCAAAGAGAGTTAGATAATTTAAAAAAATCGACTTCATAAATACATAACCACTTAAAGTAATAAATAATACACATTCTTTCCATTTGTTAAAGTACCTACAGTAAATATCAAATTAAGATCTGGGGGCCAATCGCCTAACGGAAATGCTTTGGGAAACGCTAACGCTTACGATTTTATATTGTTATTTCTAGCCGCCTGAGGCTTTCGAATACCTCACGCTCATTTTTTTAAATATTGTTATTACCAATGCAAAAGAAAAAGAAAGAGCGCGAGGCATTTGAATACCTCAGGCGACTAGAAATAACAAAATAAAATCGTAAGCGTTAGCGTTTTCCAAAGCATTTCCGTTAGGCGATTGGCCCCCTGAAGTCGGTGCCCAATCGGTGCCTGAATGTATTTAAGACCTATGGATTAAAAGAAACTAAGGTAATGTGCAATTGAATATAAATAATTCCAACTTCATTGACATTTGTATACAGACATAAAACACTACACAACTAGTTCAAGACTTCATGCTTATAATCTCATTTTGAGGCGGAGCGGCGTTTAACCAACCACATGCGGCGCGCACGCATGAGATGCGCAGACCCAGGTAGTATACTAAAAAAAAACCGGTCACTTTCGGTTTCGTTCCGTTAACAGGTTAGGTAATAGGTTCGAAACGGCTATTTCGTGACCAAAACACAAAGACTTTAGGCGTCAATTCCAATTTTGTTATGTAATTGTGAACTTTCATACCAGTTCCTAGAGCTGCGTAGCCTAGATTAGTTTAAGAAATGAAAGATGTTTCTCGTTTGTTTGACTAACTACGTTACCTACAGACGACAGCGAAATTTTTATCGCACGACGAGATCGCATCGTGTCGTCATACGATTATGGCTAATTTAGGAGGACGCCTTAATCTTCACTAAAAAGTCTATCGCGTAAGATATTGTGAAATTAAAATGCCATAATAGTTATACAACATTCGGAATATATCTCTGATCGGTTCGATGTTATACCGTTAGTTACCTTGAAAGTAAGTGAAGGTTATCTTTAATATTTTTTAATAGTTGACCAATAACTAATCGAGTCACCACCAACCGTAGTTGATATCGGTAGTAAATAGTTTTGTAATTAGTAAATGAACTGAGATTTCCTCAGCCTATTGAAGTCGACATTAAATAAACATTATCTCAACAAAATTATGTCAGTAAAATTATATCATGGTTATTCAAATATGGTACCAAAGCTTACGTCACGTACTTTATTGATACTGAAATTTTTGGTATCTACACTGGAAATAAAGCGTTACATACAAAATATTTTTAACAAGTAAACGCATAAAAACGATCCCACTATGACCTGGAATTTATTCGTATGTTATATTTATATCAGTTTACTTTTATGTTAATTAAGAGGCATGTTTAAAAATTATACTAATAGGAATTTATTTATTAATGTACATGTTGTGAGAGTTTTAAAAAGTGTGCGGTTTTGGGCTTGCCAAGTCAAACTCAAAATATTCAATAAATAAAACTAGTTTTTAACGGGTTCATGTATTAACCTTAGGTTTAAACAAAAAGGGATTAACCTGTTAAAACTAGTTTTATTTTAGAGTGATGTGCGTGATGTTTTATTTTAGAGTGACAAATAACAAAATATTCAAGTAAAAATCCTTTTATGAATAGTAAAATATTCTTTCAAAACTTTATAGAATTTGGATATTCGCAATAAAAATAATGTGATTATTTTTAACCGTACTTATGGTAATTTTCCATCAGAATTAACTATTAGCGTGTTTAACATACATGTGGAAAAAATAACAATGCCGATTAGCGTCGACAATATTTTCATCATGTCATGGAAATCATTAATTACCTACCTGTTTACCCACAGAGCTTATGACACGGGATCATTAAAGGATTCCGTTAAAAAACAACAACAACAAAACAATTGAAGACTCACCGAATCGCAGTTTGTTTATGGAGAACGTCGCGAAGGAGCACGTGATGTTTTTGAACTCCAACTGCACTGTATTCCTGGGTAGTAGGGGCACCACATTATTGTTCCCGGTTTCATCTAACCCGCCTAGCGTCATCATGAGCGATTCACTCGCGACCTCACACAACTTTCCACTACTTAATCCACCACCAGTGACTGTCACTTGTTCTCACAGCCTACTCGGTCTTCTCACGCAGCCCCTCAAAATCGGAATAGATCACGACCCTACTCGTCGTACAATGGAGTGGGCCTTATCACTTCTGACCACGAACTTGACGAATATTCTAGGTTGAGCTGTCGATCGAGTTCCTGTCTGTAATAATCCATGCGACTGCCGCTACACGTCCTGTAAACATAATTATCGCGGTCATTTTGTGAACTTGACATAATTAGGTACTTAATAATTAGTTATACTTTTTTCTCCAATTTAATCTATTGACAATGCATTTCACCATTCAAACATTAATAAGGCGAGTTGTTTTGTAATAGTATTATCGCATTTATTTAGACCTCGTGTATCTTACCTAACTAAATGAGCTTATTATCCGCACATAAACGAAAAGGCGGCGAATTAAAGTATTTAGGTGAAATCATGCTTCCGTTGTTTGTATTAGTAATTTATTACTCTACAATGATTTTATTGATTGTCAAAAGTTGTGTGTAGGTAGACACCACGAAAATAATAACTTATTTGAAGGATGTATCTAATAAGGTTAAGGTTAATAATGTTAAATAATGATAGCAGCGGTAAAATAACTATTATAACTTTGAAACTATAGTTCCAAAGTTATAAGTATTAAAGTACGTATTTTTTATAGAACTATGTTTATTTTAGTTTGGTAGTTCGTTATCCCTCAACGAGTGACTTCCTCATTTATGTTACTTTATATAATGACAGGTTCAATGTTTTGTCCTTTGATGACGTGAATTACATTATATGTTAACATTTGAATGTACCATCAGCATAACTGTTGCTGATATTGTTGTTAAATGTAATGTCAAACATGGACTTAAATTAATAGCCAGGACGAAGACGAAGAAAAATTGTCCGCGGACTTGTTGTCCGCGACAATAGATGGCTTAACAATGGCATCGAGTAACGCACACGATATATTAAAAATCCCGCGTACAAAAAGTCTTCGGAACAACCGAGGACACTGAAAGACAGGACAGAACAAAAAAAAGTACGGGGGGTCCCCGAAATATTTGAACTCTGTGACAAGGCGCAGCAACACACACACAACGAACTTAAGTCTGCGTTGTGCGCGATATAAAGGGTGCGAACTTGTATTCTATTTTAAAATGTTAAATTTTAAATTTTTTTACTTACAACATTGTCATTGCTATTGCTGAATTTAAAACGAGTGATTTAGTTCCTTATATTTTTACTAATATTTCTTCCACTTTATTGTGGTAATGGCGATTTCCAAATTCATCGATATTGTGATGTCGATAAATTTGAGTCAAGCCCTTTTGACGTAAAGAACGTATCAAAATGAGAGTCGTGACAAATATTTTAATATGTATTCAGGATTTGGCTGTGTATTGTGTCATTTTTGATGTGTAAGTGTCGTAATTACAATTTCGTTTCTTGCGAATGCATGTTAAACTGCATCTGTGTGCATATCCTCCCCCCGCAAAAAGTGGCAGAATGCTTTCAATAGTATTATGTCACTACGTCGGCCGTGTTGCTCTACAATTATACATATCATGTCAAGATCATATGCTATTCGAGTGTGCGTCTTTGCAATGCGCAGAATATTGCCTATAACACTTCAGCACAAAGCATCAATACTGCTTGCTCTGTTTGTAAACAGTGATTTAAATCAAACACTCCGTTGATTAGTGTATAACTAACCTATTAAACAAGAAATCGTCCATCTAAAACGACGTCTGTATACAAAACGTTGATTGAATTCATATGGCATGTTATTCATATAATCCAATAACATTACGCTAATTTGTATGTACAACGAACAGTTGACGACTGCTTAATAAATGATCTTCATTGGTTCCAATTTGTCCTGTCAACGAGTTAATTTATATCGATTGCCTTCATTGAAGTTTGAACAGACATTTTTGTAATGGATGTGACTCGACTCGGAAATAATAGTTTCTTTCATTTAGGCACAGACGGTTTTACTACAAAAAAGTTATATACTGTTTTAAACCTTGTTTATGCAAATTTTGTATCTAATTTTTGCTTAAATTCGTGTTGAACGCATGTTACAAACTTTAAAAAAAATATGGATTCCTAACCCATATTTAGTTGCCTATTTCCTCAACAAGAACATCGTCTGTGCGCCGTTGATATGCTTTTATACATTGAGGTTATGGTAATAACTTATCGAGTAGACAAATAATAAAGAATAACAAATAAACATGGTTAAATTAAAAAGATCCACTTTCTTTCGTCACGGTTCGTGGTTATGTCACAATGTCTATTTGACCAGCTAAAGCGTTCTGGTGTTTCTAATTTCTAATATGTAGGTTCTAGTCTATTTTCTTGTTTTGAATACTGTTTTGATTCTAAAAAGCGTAGCAAACGAATACATGGCCTTCCTAATGGTAAGCATATCCTTAAAGACTAGTGATTTTTGATACCGTTACATACTCTGTAGAAACCAGACAAACTCAATCCAAGCATAAACACAACGCCGCGCCATCGCGCCTCGAGGTTTTTGTATATTACCAACACATCCATTTATTTGCATGTGTCGTAGGATGATATGATAAATCGAAATTTCGAAGTAATGACATTGATAAATAAATAAATTACTGACGAAATTTAATTTCTGGCGCTTCGCCGACCGCTTCGGCTGCATATGGCCGCTACGGTCACAACGCTAACCTTACCTAGTATGAATTCATACTTGAGACTTATGAAGACTTATGTACAAAATGCTCATATTCCTCATACAACCATTTGCCCTACCAAGATTCTAACCCGGGACCTTTGAGTAGAGACACTCTGAAACCCGGGGTAAATACCTCTCGCGCCATGTAGGTCGTCAAAAAATAAATGAGTTAATTAATGATGATTACCTTATTTGCTATTCTACATGTATAGTAAATGACAAGAATGACTATATTAAACGGAAAACGGAAGTGAGTAATGTTCGATAACAGTATTGTTTAGACATAATACCTACGTAGATGCGGGGCAAAGATTAATTCATATCACTGTCAAGGCTAGACCCCAAATACAAAACAAATTTGCTTTAGTTATTCATCTGTGACAAAACATTCCAGAAGTCATAATAAATTATTGTGATTACTTGTTTTAGGGTTGTGATCGTTGGTTGTGACATTTAAAAATAGGCCAATCTTTATCAACTTTACAATTATTTTTGTTTAGAATTATGGCTGATTTCAATTTAGTGAATGGTATTTTTATTATGTCAGTATTTATATATACGTGTGTTACTTTATTGGTATTACTATACTATATAAGTTATTATTATGCACAATTGGAGCATTTCCTTTATTTACATACATAATTAATACGTTTTGTTCCGATGAAAAACACATTCAGTGTTCATGAATAACTTCAGAGACTTGCAGACAAAGTTATGAAATGAACACACAAAGAGCGAGTTATATATAGATCTCCCGTATTTTGTCATGGATTTAAAAATGGATGTTAGCTATGTGATACTCCCGCAGTAATTTTCCTCTTATTGGAACTTTCCAATACTTACTCTTTATCTGTTTTTAAATAAGTTGGTGTGGTTCTATGTATTAAGATTATTGCTTAATATTAGCCTTTAATACAAGGTCCGAAATGTCATTGTCAAATTGTGTATGAAAACTGAAACAGCAGCGTTATAACGGACGTAACGAGAACTAAAAATCAGTACACATTTGACAATGACATTTCGTACTAGCAAACGTTACGAATCGATATTGGTTCGTGCTAAGGGTAATGAAAAATGACAAAATATGTCTCCAATACATTTTGATAATCTACATGATACACGAAAAATCAAGTTGTTACTGTCACTATAGGTTGTTCACTAAATTGAATGACTGAAGAGAAATAGCCAAGATATTGAACACAACGTTCTATTCTCATTGAGTTAAATTAAACGAATTTGTAATTTAAAGATCTAGCAGTTAAATACTTTAAAAATAAAGTGAGTTTGTAAAATAACTAAATATGAATCATATGGCTGTTATCTCCTTCACTTCTATCAGTCTTGGTCAGTCATCTTCATCGAGTTTTCTTTCTATACACAAAGTTGTTTTGTCTTGGATACAATAACGGGCCCAGTCCCCGTAATATGAGCACCACAATTTAAAACACGTTTTTTAAGGCGTCTATCTGCCAAGCTCCATAGTTATTTGACATTTGAGCGTGATAAAAACGACCTATATATCATATCGCGGTGCTCATGCAAGGGGGCCTGGCCTACAAATGGCTGTGACAATTGCTTGTATATGATATATACGTATCACGTCACAGCTAAATAAGACGATATATACGTATGACGCATGTTTTAACGAGTTACAGTAATAGGAACTCAGAGACAACACGCGGCCGACGATGCGTCGCGACGAAAAGCCCTTGAAATACATCCGATCAATACAACTTATACTATGTAGTTGACCAAAGATTTTCAAGAAACTCCGAATGAGTAGTGAGCGAAATTATCTACGTAATCTGATTTACTGAAAAGTTTTAGTAGATTCATGATTTCGATGAAGTTAATTTTTACAAATTTAAGTACGAAATTTCAATGAATTATGCGGAATCAAATAATAATATTAATAATACAAGAATATTAGATAAAATAAATTTCTATAACTATAATCATATCAATTTATTATCACACATAACTATACATATATTACCTACTAACAATTACGGGACAAAAGACAGTTTAAACTAATAATATTACATTAAATGAATTATTTTAGAATTTCAATACAATATATTTTATTAATGGGGTCAAATTAATTTAATTTTTAAGCAGTCAAAATCAAAGCAGTTTTTATCTTAAAGTGCCTATTGAGTCGGAAAAAAGGTCAAAATCACCACAGTGGAATATTACGTTATACAGTTTTTGCATATAAGATAATGGTGCATTACTCCCATACTTATCTTTATAAAATACATGCAGACGTGTTTGCTTTCTGGGAACATTTAAGTTTATCTGTTGTAAGAGGGAGGGACAGTCTGTTAAGATATTCAATAATTTTCAATATTAAGAAGAATAGTGACAGCTGGTTTCGTCTAATCTCCAGATATGGTATTTCAAAGAATCCTACTTTGATTGAATCTCTGATGTTATAAAAAATTCCAGTCACAAAAGCCATTCTTTTCAAAAATCTTTTTTGTATTGT